CTGGACTCTATGATCCATAGGGTCATTTCCAGTTCTGCAGTTCTAAGATGATGATTATTACTGTTATCATTAAATTATATCTCTACTCAGAAGTAAGTGCTACTGAGTCCAACTGAAATTCCAGATGAGTGAGTACAGACCTGCAGCCTTACAAGTCTCATTTACTAGATCTAGCTGTTACCGGCTGACAGCCTATCATTCATTTAAATATATTCCTTTTTTCAAGGAAGGGGAATTTTAATTAAATATTTTCTTCATTGCCATCACAATACCATACACATTATCCCACTTCAAACAATAAAAATTCCTATCCAACATATATTTTTCTTCTTCTCCTCCTCCTCCTCCTTCTTTTTGCTTAGAGTTGTATTTTTCATTATTTATATATTGTATATTCTCCTCAATTCTCTGTGTTATATGTAACTATTATACTCCGTTGTCCATAGTTTCAACAACTGTCTGAATGAGACAATCTCAGCAGGTTCAAAAGATAAACGTCCTAAAACTGATTTTTGCTTTTTTTCAAAGAGTGTTATGTCAAAGCACCAGAATGTATGAATACAGTGGTGCCTTGACTTACAAATGTCCCAACTTAAAGACCATTTCAAGTTACGACCAGCTCCGGCAGCAAAAAGGTACTAACCACTGGTTGGCGAAGAGGCTGCTTTTTTGTAGCTCTTTCGCCCCAACGATTAGAGAATGTGCATTGGAGGAGGCTTCAGACTGCCTGGTGCTGCTTTCTGCTTCTGAGTGAGTATATACAGGATTTTGCTGCATGGGTTTTGGCTTGGGGTTTTTTTGTGTGTTTTGGTGTGCTTGTTTTTTCAGCCCCAGTGCCTTCCAGGGCAGGGGATTCAAATGTACTAACCATTGGTTGGCGAAGAGGCTGCTTTTTTGTAGCTCTTTCGCCCCAACGATTAGAGAATGTGCATTGGAGGAGGCTTCAGACTGCCTGGTGCTGCTTTCTGCTTCTGAGTGAGTATATACAGGATTTTGCTGCATGGGTTTTGGCTTGGGGTTTTTTTGTGTGTTTTGGTGTGTTTGTTTTTTCAGCCCCAGTGCCTTCCGATGGGGCTTACTGTGTTGTTGCTGTTTTTGGCGATTTTTTTTCCAGCCCCAGCGCGTTCCGATGGGGCTTGCATTGTTTTTTGTTTTGGGGGTTTTTGTGATTTTTTCCCCCGGCCGGAACGGATTAATGGGGTCTCAATGTATTCCTATGGGAAATGGTGCTTCGATGTATGACTATTGTGAGTTGCAACCATCATTCCAGAACAGATTAATTATTTCCACCCACAACACATTCCAATAAGACTTGCAGTGTGGCTGCGGCAGTTAAATTTCAAGCCTGGAAACCTGCTTTTAGGAAGGGTTTCCAGGTATCAGGGTGCTGGCTGGTTGAGTCTCAGGGAATTGCTATGCTTCTCTGGTTTTCTAAGTGGAGAGACATATCTCAGCAAGTACCACTGGAGGAGAGAAACTAATTTTTCCTATGAGTAACTCTAAAACCTGGGCACACATCTGCACCAGTTCCCCAAGAGCACCAATATTCACTGACCCAACAGAAGGGTATTTGGATGTGTGTTGTCTTGGTGTAGAGTTCATGCACCAAAAATCCAAGAGCAAGGGGAGAGACTGATGTGAGAGCCAATGGGAACATGTGCTTAGGTCCATGGTGGCATCTGGACCAAGTTAGTGTTAAGAGCACTAGCATCACCATTTCTGAGACTTCTTGTTTCACAAGTCCTGGTAGCAACAGCAGAAGAACTTAAGGGCTGGTGCTAAACCTCCAGCTAGTCCCAGGAGCAGCATAGGCACACCATGTGCCATATGTGCTGCATATAAGACTAAAATGAATGCAAGATGACCCAGAGGCAATTCTAAGTAAGTAAGTAAGTAAGTAAGTAAGTAAGTAAGTAAGTAAGTAAGTAAGTAAGTAAGTAAGTAAGTAAGTAAGTAAGTATGCCTGCTATCCAATCAGCAAAGGTCTTGTGCTGCTCAACAATCTGTTCACCTGATGTTAGAACCTGACTCTCAACACGATGTAAGTAAGTAAGTAAGTAAGTAAGTAAGTAAGTAAATAAATAAATAAATAAATAAATAAATAAATAAATAATCCCTACTCCCAATCCTTGACTGCCCTTCCCTTGGTGAATGGCTCAAGGGCTCACCCCTTGCCCTTAGAGTTTGGCCCTGAGATCTCAACAAATGGGATACTTCTGGTTTTGCAAACCTTGCTACAGTTGCAATTCTGAGCAACCTACCCTTAACAGTCTTTTCAGTTCTTCAAATCTTTACTGAAGTTGTATATACAGCATGTTTATTATATATTACTATCACAGCAAACAGCACTATAAATTTAAGATCTTTGTTAGTGTGTTTAATTGGATACCTTGTCTTCATATGGAAGTACTTATAACTGCAACTGAAAATTATAACTAGTGAAAAATCCTAGGTTCCTAAATAGCAGAAACACTGTAAAGTTTATAATTATGTGACATATTAAATAATAAATATGCCTGTGCTATTTTCTGTGCATACACAAGTGTAAGAACCAGCCACTTCCCTCGGGATATGCAGTACAGCTCGCAGGGAAGAGGCTAATATATTTTCAAAGCTTAATCTCCATAAAGCAATATTGTGCAGATAACAAGAAACAGCTTGCTGAATTATGTATCAATTAATTCAAAAGCCTTTAGCTGATTTTAGCCGGTAAAACCATCTGACATGTTAATATCTAGAAAAGATAAATAATAAAATATTAATCAAAGTCCATGCTAATTAAGAGTTAATTGCAAATAATCCACCACAAAGAGAATGAATTAATGTATTAACAATATCAGCCCACCACGTTATTAATATGGAAGAAAGATCAGGTTGTTTTAGCTTTGTTAATGTGCGTACCACCAAGGATGCGAATGGCTGTGCATGCTTAATTAAGGACATATATCTGACATGGCATTCTGATTTACATAGTGACCCACTGCTGAGGGAGCAAAATACAATCTTGTCTCTAGAAAACACAGAATTGGTGGGGTGGGAGCATGCATACAAAAACCACTAATGTCTCCACCCACTTAAGGAGCAATCTTATGGCAGAACGTCACGAAGTTATGTCTCTGTATGTCAGTGGCACAACAGAAACTGGGTGGAGACATGGGTGAGATGGGCGTAGGACAAGCAAGAGCTAGGGACACTTATATCAAATCCTATAGCCTATGAAGTCAAAAGTCATGGCCCTGTTAAGAATGCAACATTATACCAGACCTGAACTTGGCATAGCAAATTTTGCTTGTGTTACCAGTACTAAAATACCTTTCCACCAGTGACTGCCCCACCACTTTGATGCTACAGAACAAAATGTATAGCATAACAGAAATGTATAACACCAATCATGACATCATACAACCATTACTGTAAAGGATGCCTACAACAAGACCACAGGACAGTCAGCTTGGGGCTGTCTCTATCTAGCCTCATGTTATGTCCACTTACAAGTAGGGGCTCTGGTGTGGTGCAAGGGGCAAACTGTATAAAAAAGGAGCACTTCATACACCAGTCTAGCCTAACAGCCTACAGACAACCTTGCCCACAACACTTATTTTCTTCTTTTCCCCCCTCAAGTTTTATACCATCTTTCCCTGAGAAAGAGTACTGGAAGGATTTAAAAGCTTACCTTTTTATAACTTTTTGGTGATTGAATAAAGATATTAACCAACCCAGAACTTCCCATTAAGAAACCATTAGCTTATTCCAATATTTTAATTGTCTATTCAAGTACACTGTATTGCAATGTATTTTAACTGTATTGTCTTTTTTATTTTAACATTTTTATTTTTAGTTTGGTTGTATTCTGTATTTTACCCATGTTTATTGTAGTGTGTTTTTCTGTTTTTCTGTTTGTTTTTTGTTTTTGTTGTAAAGCACCCAGAGTGGCCTATGGCTGGATGTGCGGGATAAAAATCAAACAAGTAAACAAATAAAGCAAGGCTTCCAAATAATAGGTATACCTTCTGGACAACTTTTTCCAACAACATTCATCACTACAGATAAACTCAGAATTCATGGAAATGGAAAAGTTTTGGTTGTATTCTTTATTTTACCCATGTTTATTGTAGTGTGTTTTTCTGTTTGTTTGTTTTTTGTTTTTGTTGTAAAGCACCCAGAGTGGCCTATGGCTGGATGTGCAGGATAAAAATCAAACACACAAACAAACAAATGAAGCAAGGCTTCCAAATAATAGGTATACCTTCTGGACAACTTTTTCCAACAACATTCATCACTACAGACAAACTCAGAATTCATGGAAATGGAAAAGTTTATCTTTCCTGAAAGTAGAAACATATTACCCTCATATCTAAGACCCATACATTTCAATCCGAGCAATAATTACACAGAAGCAAACTGTACTGAAATCCATGGGACTTGCCTGACAGCAAATATTTTAAGACTGATTCCTGATACTAAAAACTTCATTCAATATGATCTTTCATTAACAGGAATGAAGTATAATTTCTTTCTTCCATCTAAGGAAAAATAAACCAAGATAGGGACCTGTCCATAGCCCTGTTCAGACACAGACCTCCCATAATTAGAACCATGTGAGGCTTTGCCTCTTCCACTCTGTTCCCACTGCATGGGCAAGACTTGGAGGGCAAATATCTGCAGAGGGGAGTTGGCAATGATTATGTAGATTTTCCATGCAGTTTTGAACCTTGCACAACCTGGGGGAGCATACCAGAACAGAAAAAGCTTTCTACTGCAGAAGATAGAGATATGAAGGATTCTCAGAGCCAAACATGGAAACACAACCAAAATGATGGGGCACACTCTCTTCCCTATATAATTCTCTTCACATGTTGGATAAATGCCTGAACTGGGCTATGAGATCTTTCATTGACAATATTATCCAGTTCCAATCTGCCAAAGAGCATCTCTGTAAAACTACAATGCTGTGATAATCCAAGGAAAAATGGGCACAATGAGCATGCATGTTAACTTACCTTCATAAGGTGCTGGTTTATCCATTTTGTGAATGTTTTCTTTTGTACTTTATCCCGCTCATCTGAAAAGAAAAAGAGGGGGAAATGAGTATTTCTAAAAATAGTACTTGCTAAGACATTGAAGTGCTATGTTGAAAACTCTTATTTTATTTGGAGAAGGGGGGGAAAGGAAAATATGTAATTAATTATTGCAAGTTGATCTGAAACATCTGTTAAAACAAACTATCAATTGTTGTGACCAGTTGTTAAATAGAAGTGAAAAACTTAGTATAGTGGTGCCTTGCTTAATGATTTTAATTGGTTCCAAAAAAATCATCGCTATGGGAAAACATTGCTAAGCGAAATGCGGTTTCCCATTGAAATGCATTGAAAACCGGATAATCCGTTCCAATGGGAACGGATTGCCGTCCTTAAGCGAAAATTGCCATAGGAAATATCGCTAAGCGAAACACAGTCCCCCAATTGAAATGCATTGAAACCTATTCAATGCATCTCAAGGAGGGGGGCGGAATTACAACAAATTTAAAAAGAGTCGGAACAAAGTCAAATTAGTTTAACAAAGGGTTTATTAAGTGCACCTATGATTTCAAACATTCTAAACATTTTTAAACATATAAAAACAGCCAACATGAGGCTGTCAAAACCATCGTTAAGCGAAACAGGGAGACCCAAACTGTCATCGCTATGTGAAGCATGGTCCCAAACATTGCTATGCGAAAATCGCCCATGGGGAACATCCTTAAACGGAGCACAAGATCGCTCCGAAAAAGTCATCGCTAAGCGAATTCATCGTTAAACGAAGCGCTCATTAAGCGAGGCACCACTGTATATTGATTAAATTGATGGTCAGAAGCCTCGGTCATACAGGGAAGGATTCTAGCAAAAACAAATGTCTTGTGCCTATGGTTGAATTGCCTAGATTATAAATTCATTCTTAAAATGATTTATATGCTATTCTACAGAAAATCAACAATAAATAAATAGAAACAATCTATTAAATAGAAAATAATATACTGTACACAAAATTCCAGTTGCTGCCTTTCCAGATAAACACCATTACTGGCATATTTCTAAATGTATCTAAACACAACCAGCACCAGTTATTGTCATTTTAAAAGGATTTTCTATGGTTTTGCCAAAGAGCTGATCCTTCACCACATGCTCAAAGATGGTCAAAGACTAAGGCATTTACTGAATGCCTTTGTCACATGCCCATTTGACAAATTTCAACATTAGTCCATCACACTAGATGCTAAGGGAAAATCTCTTCCTTATTATTAGCTTATTTTATGCTTCAGCAGTCAGGCATTTGCATTTTCAAATTAAGGCTGCATCTACCATTTAATGGCCAATGAAAAAACAGGACACGTTAAGGCAGTGGTTCTTAACCTTTGTTACTCAGGTGTTTTTGAACTGCAACTCCCAGAAACCCCAGCCAGCAGAGTTGATGGTGAAGGCTTCTGGAAGTTGCAGTCCAAAAACATCTGAGTAACAAAGGTTAAGAACCAGTGCATTAAGGTACGATGTGTGGGTAAAAAACAAAAACATCAGAGTTATAACAAATAGATGTCTTTCACCACTTGAGGGAGCACCTCTTCTTATAAACTGCTAAAGACATTTAAATCTGACAGAGACACAGGGTTCTAATGTTTAACAGTGTAGAGGTAGACAGGACAAACTGGTCCTCAGAGTAATCTGATTTGGACCTTAGCATTTCATACCAGATTGTTGATTACTACTTTATTTCTGATCATAGAAGAAATACTGAAATTACATGCTCCACCCCCTTTCCTCATTAGACATCTAGACACTACAGACCTAGAACACAGGCACATACAAAAAGTCTTTAGACTCCTCCTCTTCCCTGATTCAGATTTCACGCCTGCATTGAAGCTCACTGGGTTTAAGCTGCTCTGCTCCATGAACTCTTAAAATCTGTTGAGCTGCTTATACAGTGTTTTCCCAAAAATAAGACAGGGTCTTATATTAATTTTTGCTCCAAAAAACGAATTACGACTTATTTTCATGGGATTTTTTTTCCATTTGCAACCATCTACAGTACATTTATTCAAATACAGTCATGTCATCTTCTTCTAGTTGCTGCACAATGGTAGAGGACAGGCTTTCAATTAACTGGGACTTCTTTTGGGGGGTAGGGCTTATATTACGAACATCCTGAAAAATCATACTAGGGCTTATGTTCAGATTAGGTCTTATTTTCAGGGAAACAAAGTAGAATTTCAGAAGGGTTAACTCCTGCGTTCATCACAGCTCCTTTGTGCTCTCTCTCTGGAAGAAAAAGGCTTGTAGTATGGTGTCTACTGCCACAAATCAGGAATGACATTTGTAGACACCTCCACACAATCCTATCACATAATGCGCATTATACAAATTGTACCAAGCAACTCTAGAAGCCAATGTGGGCTAAAAGTGGGATATAAACATGATGATTAACAAACTAACTATAACATGAAGCCTGCAGTGGGATTGGCAGGCTGCGAACAGAAATGCTACTTTTACTCTTGATTGTATTAATGGACTGGAAGTTGAGGTAAATTGTTCTCCCAATCATATCATCTTCCTTTCTAGGCTCCTATTAAACAAGAGGATTCCAGATGCGAAGTGTGGAGGGACAGTACAAACAGAACAGTCACAAATGTGCTGGGTACATGGGGAACTGGGCTGTTTGTTGATTCTTTCTTTACCACGTTTAGCAATCAAGTAAAGGCTAAATTATATTAACCTTAAACTAGACATTGAACACTCGGCATAAAGAAACATAAATCTTTATTTATGCTTTTCCTTAATTTACAATCTGCCTTTACATTGTAAGTTCAAGACACCTAACACTAGACCACTGGTTCTTAACCTTGGGTTACTCAGGAGTTTTGGACTGCAACTCCCAGAAGCCTTCACCACCAGCTATCCTGACTGGGGTTTCTGGGAGTTGCAGTTCAAAAGCATCTGAGTAACAAAGGTTAAGAACCACTGCACTAGACCTCTTTCATATTAATGAAGTTTTTTTTCAAAGTACGTAGCATTCTTTGCTTTTTCCATTTAACAATGGGAGCAAGCCAAATTGTTTTGGCAAAGGTATGGTTCTGTGTGGCAGAATAATTGAAGGACATATCAAAAGCTTTTGCCTATTTTCTGAATTTGTTTTTGGAAACTCCCCAGAGGCAGCTTTCTGAAAATTCTCCAAAAATTCTCCACTTTATTTGTAGGTATTTGGTGGCGGTTGCTTCAGAGACAAACACATACACAAATCAATGAATAAATTCATGTTTCATTGGTTCATGGGGAGGAGATTCGTGCTTTGTGCTTCATCAGCTTTGACGGATCATGAAGCAGGATGACTTGCCAAAATGGCGATTCGTCCCCATCTCTACTTATGATTATAAATACTCCTAAGAAAATGACTAATAGTATTTGGCATTCCTTGCCTCAAATTTCACCACTTCTACAAATAGTGGAGAAAACAGGGAGACTATTTCTGCTAAGTTCCATTTTCAGCATTATAAATTATTTTCAAGTATTCCATTGCATCTTCCAGATAAGGCCATTTATTCCAATTTGGCAGTGTTACATTTGCCTTTTACCAAAAATGTGAATGTTGTATTTTGGACACTGACTATAATATGATATTGACAATGTGTTATATTTTGGACAGTGCTGCCATGGTAATTCTAAAACAGAAAGCCATTATTTTGTGTCTTCAGAGAAGGATCCCTTAAGAAAATGTGTATTTAACATCTTGGAATCCACTGCAGCCAGTTGATGCTACCACTGCTTAGAAGACCTTCTTGAACAATGTTGAGAGATCAAGGGGACTGCTTGAAAAAGCAGGAAATTGTCCAAATCTGGGCTTAAGTCATAAGGCAAATTAAGGAACTTCACAAAAAGGTTCACCTCCATAGTCTTTCATGCTCCATTCTAGATTGTCAAAGAAGTCACCTGAGCTTCTGAGAAGCTTGAGGGTGGTCACATTTGGTTGCAAGGGGCAGGAGGCAACAGCACATTTTTCTTCCATTATCTTATTTAAGTATCATTTTATTCTGTTGTATTCTTAGCTAAAGCACTACCAGAAAATAATGCCAGAAGGCAAAAAGACTGAAATTTATGCTAATGAATATCCTTGCTTAGATCACTGGTTCCCAACTTTGAGCAACCTAGGTGTTCTTGGACTGCAACTCTCAGAAACCCCAGCCAGCACAGCTGGTTGATGAAGACTTCTGGGAATTGTAAACCAAGAACATCTGAGTTATCCAAGATTAGGAACCACTGCTTTAGATGAATATGGGAACTTGGAAGATTACCTATGTATAACTATTTTGCAAAACTTAACAGGGATGATAAGCAGTAAAATGGAGTGAAGTCAAATGTGAACACATGAAATCAAGAGATAAACATGTAACTTTGACAGTGCCCAGTACATTAAAAAACAACAAAGAGCAACAATAAGAAAACTCAGAGAGGAAATAGTTTTACAGTGTAATCCTACACACATATTTATCCAAAAGTAAACACCCACTGGATTCAGTAAGTGTCCTCAGTAAGTTTATCTGGAATTGCAGCTGAATCTGCTGATTCTTACAGTAAAGGTCTCTCGAATTAAGCAAACTGGAAGGAAGGAAGGAAGGAAGGAAGGAAGGAAGGAAGGAAGGAAAAAGTATAACTGATTTGCTGATTAAAACATAACCTAAAAGAAAGTAAACAAATTGCTTGCAATTATAATCAGAGGAAAACTTTGACAGTATTTCCTTCCCAAAATGAAGATGTGTGAAAACAAAATATGAAACACAGGTAGGTAGTGTTGCACTAATCAATACAGCACACAACAGTTTTGCTTTCCATTCTTGCTCGTGTCTAATGAGCTGCCCTGTCACTCTGCGATATAACTGGACTGCAATACTAAGTTTCTTGAATTCAGCTTCAACTTAATGTGTGTGCACGTGCACGCATGTGTGAATGCATGTGTGTAGGGGGAAAATACCTGTGCCTCTGAGTTGAAAGAAAACAGCAAGTACTCCCTCTTTTAAAGTAAATATTAGCAACCCTCAGC